CGACGTGCTGGGGTACTGCCGTCATGAATGGTACGAACTTCTCTCTTGTCCTACCTAGTTTTTACAGCTAGTAGTGTGCTTCTGCTGTTTCCGACGGCGACTGCTTAGCAGTAGTAGTAGTAGTAGTAGTAGTACGTCGCAGTAGTAGTTCGTCGTATCAGCATACACAGTAGCAGTAGCAGCAGAAGTAGAAGCACAGGCCCTATGCCGGCCTTTATGGGAGTGAAACTACGAGTCCACTTCTTGGACGCCCTTACGCCACAGATCTCGGGGGCCGTAGCGGTACAGAATAGCGTATAGTGGTTGTTTTGAGTGATATCTACAAAGCCCATCAAGGCAATTATGGGTGTTTTTGTCAGACCTGTAGATGGTATTGGGATACCTTGTTAATTCGAGCACTGAAACTGAAGCAGAGGTTGCCCATGAGCCTTTCGGGTTTAAGCTGGTCGGTATAACCCACCCTTTTCTAAGGACTTCTACCAGCAACTCATATTAAGGAACCCCCAAAAGGTAGGGTAATGTAGGGGCCTGAATAATTACCTATACTATTTTGGGTGTCCCTTTTATAATTATAGTACAATATACCCCGAAACTTTTTTGAATCATTAATTATAAGGCCCCCAAACCCTAAACCCCTAAACCCAAAACCGTAAACCATACATGAGGCTTTAGGGAACTTCGGAGTCTAGGGAAGAGTCTTGTGCCCCTTTTTCTGGGGAGCCAGGAAGCATCGGCATCCACAGCGCGTGGTGCCAAGGCATTGAGATAGAGGCCAGCTGCCAGGGTGTGGGGTTTCGGGTTCAGGGTTTAGCGTGTAGGGTTTGGGGTTTAGGGTTTAGGGTGCAGGGTGCCATCATGCCATCTCGCTACTACACCCGAATAGAATTATTATACCATCACCCGTCCCGTCAATAAATACCTAGTCTATTTGCTTGGATAGGCATTATAACCGGTTAGTAGCTCTCGCGATTTCGGACTGTGACGGTTTCCGAGCTTTGCGAACTACCAGGATACCCATTAAATACCTCATTACCTACCATAACACCCTGTTTTGTGGGACGTAATACAAATTCTTATACAACTTTTCGGGAGCCCACGAATAAACAGAAGGTTATGGTTTTTGGAGTCATACACGAAAGCTGGGATTCAGGGAACGGAATCAATTCCTAAGCCGCTAACCCCTAACCTCAAGCCCGTTATCGGGCGGATCGCCACAGTTGACTCTACAGCCAGCACATTCTACATAGTGTAAGGGTCGGAATATTTACCAAAGTACTATTTGTCCGTGTTCCGCGGTATAGCATACCCCAGAACCCTATTCTAGTAATTACAGCCCGTCTTTATTCGGGTGGAGAGCGTTCAAAGGGACTAAGGAAGTGAGAATTGGGGTTAGACACGCCCTAACTAGGGTTATCCTAATGCAAGTAGGGTGAGGTTTTAGGGTTCAGGGCTAATTTCTACAGAAACACTACCAATTCCGATGGAGAGGTCCCATGTTGCGCTACCCTAAGCCCTAAACCCTAAATCCTAAAACCTTAAAGCCCCAAACCCTAAACCCTGAAGCCCTAAAGCCCTAAACCCTAAAACCCTAAAGCCCTAAACCCTAAAACCCTAAAACCCCAAAATCCCAAAACCCTAAAACCCTAAAGCCCTAAACCCTTAAAACCTAAACCCCAAAGCCCCTAAACCCAAAACCCTAAAATCCCCGGGGCCCGGGATCCTCTTGGGTTGGGTCTGGCTGATACAGCAGCCACACTTGGTAAGTAAGTAACAAGTACTTAGTGTTCTTCGGGTTGGCTCTTAGGACTTTAACATTTTGGGTTTCTATATGAACTATAATGCGTAGGCTAAAACTTCAACTTTTAGGAGGGGTTCAGAAGTTCAGCCAAAAGTAGAGTTATAAGTAACCCCCAAAAGGGATCCAATTTGGGTTATGGTATTTATAAGTCTATACTAACAACTAGTTAATAAGTCCCCCGACCCTCTAAGTACAGCCACAGGCCACAGCGCTGGTTCCGCGTCTGCTCTTGAACTGCATTGGGGTTTAGGGGTTTAGGGTTTAGGGCTTAGGGTTTAGGGTTTTAGGGTATAGGGTTTAGGGTTTTAGGGTTTTAGGGTTTAGGGTTTTAGGGTTTGTAGGGTTTAGGGTTTCACGGGCTACGGCGCTAGTTCCGCGTCTGCTCTTGAACTGCGCTTCGGGTTTTTCGTCACAGGCTGCACCTAAGCCTCCATTAATCAAACTAGTCCCTTGAAAGCTGAACGAGTACCTTTAAACTTTTTGGGGTAATATGATCCCTTATAGAACTGAAAGTGTACATTTTTTGTGCTTATGAACTCAGCAAGGGCTGTTTGGGTTTTGGTTTAGGTAGGGGGGTGGTTAAAGCCCTGATATTGCATCCAGTTCTTCTAACCATGTAAGGGGAGTAAAGAGCCTGCACTAACACAGTGTAGCTTAGGGTTTAGGGTTTAGGGTTCAGGGTTAAGGGTTTCGGGTGCAGAATATCTTCCGGTGCCCTTCTGTGCAGGGTTTTGGGGTCTCTGCAGCGGCGAAGTCGTAATTCATCATGGAATCGAGTTGTTGTGGAAATAAGCCCTGGATCCCGGACTGACACCCGGGGCGTCCTTTGAGTGTTCTTTAGGGTTTATCTGTGACCCAAAAGACCTACCTCTTTTAAGGAGCTATATATAGCAACTATGATAAGGAACCTTAAAAAGCGTAGGTCTTTTCGGGCTACAGGTAGGGCTTAAGGTTTAGGGCCCTTGAAGTCAGGGTTCTACAAGGGTTCTGCAAGGGATTTGTAAGTCAAGACTCGGAAGACTTCGACGGCAAGGCCTTAGAAATCCTACAGAGGCCTGTCTCGGTTTAGGATTTATTGTAGGGGTTGTAGGTTTAACTAGTGTTTAGGTTTCAGGGTTTATAGGGTTTAGGGTAGCGGGTTTAGTAGGGTTTTGGGTTAGGTCTCAGGGTTTCTAGGGTTTTGGATTTCGGGTTCACAAGACCCCGAACTTTAAGACGCAAAGGCTTGTAAAGCTCCTTGTGAAACCCCGAACACTGCAAAAGCCGTGTGTAAGATTTGAAGTTACCCAAAAGTCTTAGATCCTAAACCCTGAACCCTGTTCTTGATATCCTGGCGGCCCAGATTGATGTCAAATGTGAGAATTTTGAGATGTCAATGGCAAGCGAGGAAAATCTACGACGGGGCATACCACCAGCTGCTGAATGAGCCGAACAAGGACGAGGTGGCGGGATCCTTCTCGCTATCATGAGCACAGACACCCTAAACCCCAAGCCCTAAACCCTAAAGTGATTAACCACGAAGATACAGAAGGGCCCGTAATTCTAGCGAAGACGAGTTTAGGCTGCTAATATGATGTTTTCATGTTTTCCTGCCCGTTATTCTGTACCGAGATGTTGTCAACAATGATAGTCCACGCTTTCGATGTTATGACGTCTTGGAATTCTTACAGTAAGTCCTTTCATGAGGACCTTCTTAAAAGGACTTAGAGCACCTTAAGTAGACATCTCCCAGTACCCTAAACCTCAAACCCTAAACCGCAAGTTCTTGAATGAGGACCTCGAGCCGAAACCTTAAACCCTCAACCCTTTAGGTTTAAATTGCTTAGGGCCTAAAGGGTTTAGGGTTTAAAGGGTTTGGGGCTTAAAGGGTTGAGGGTTTAAAGGGTTTAGGGTTTAAAGGGTTTAGGGTGTAGGGTAAACCCTGGCCCCTAAACCCTAATCCCCAAACCCTCACCCCTGAACCCAGAACACATGGCCGCAGGTGATGAACGACATCGTGAACTTCGTCCTGTCCTCCCTGACCGGTTACTGACAATGTTCAGGCCAGCACAAGGTGGTTAGGGGTTAGGGTTTAGGGCATGGGGTCAGGGTTTAGGGTGGTTGGTCTATCGCTTTCAAGACACAGAGTCCGAGTCGGAC